TTTTTTTTTTTTTTTTTTTTTTTACAGGCTCACTTTCCTTCCTTTATATGATCTTTAAGTTCCCTAGTTAATCTCAAATAATCTGGTCAGTTTGCCGCCATTAAAATTATCACTCTCTCATATTTTTTTCTTTTTTACAGAAAATAAAATATCAGCACTCATCAAGAACGAGCTAAAGAATGATATGGAAAAATATTATAATCCCAGACTGTAAATTAAAAAGGATGACTTTAGCAGCAATGTGTGCAGTTCTGCTTGGAAGTGTTTAGAAAAATAAAGGGGGAGGGGGCAGACACAGGAAATCAGCCTGAGCAGGGGCCCGCAACAACCCTTGTTTGAAGGCAGACTGGAGAGATTGAGGTTGTTTCCCTAAGAGAGGTAAAGAAAAAGCAGTGACAAGATAACATAAAACAACAAATGATAGAAAATTTAGTGGGGCCTGGGAAGCTGCGACTGGATGTAAACGGAGCTATTTATGGGAACATCAGTTTTACAGAACCATAGTTAAAGCTGTGCTTAGATTCCCATTAAAAGACCCATTTTCAGTCATTAAAATTTTTGAGCAGAGAAACCATTTTTGTAATTATCCAGCAGAGACCAAGTGGTATTTTGAAAGCTGCTGATTAAAAAAAGTCTTAAATAAAATCAGCCAGTCAATCACTCCCCAGGATGTACATGCAGCACTCCTGCTAGCATAGCCAGGATCCTCGCGGTCATTTTTTTTTCAGGAGCAGCAGCACCAGCACACTGCCAGCTTATACGTGGCTCATGGGTCTGCCATAGCCCCAAGGTACTTTTCTGAAGTGCAGAGGGCAACAAGACTGGAAGTAGCCTCCTAGGCCACTGCCCAGCTCCCTATGTTGGCAGACTTTTGTTACCCAAGGGAATCCCCACAATCATAAGTTCAGGCCCTTATAACTCCAGGAGGAACTACCCAAAACACCAACCCCCCGCCTCTGGCATGCCAGAGGTAAAAAGCAAAGGAGATGAGCCCTCATAACTGATGAGTTCACTGTTTTGCCAGGCCAGTCTCTTGTTGCACATCCCATGCTTCCTTTACATCAGGGCAGCATGCTCTTGTACCCTTCATACCATATTTTAAGGTGCTATTAACTTCTTTGACCTGGAGTTAGGCATCTCTTAAGCAAAATGTGTTCTGTAGGTGGGGTATTTCAGTTCAGCCCTTTGAAGGCAAGTGTCCCCAAAACTGGTATCTCTGTCTGCAACCACAGCCACAGCAGTGTCAAAGATTCACTAGACCACTGAGACTTGTCCCTTACCCCAGAGAACAGGCAATGGAAGAGAACATTGGCAAGAAGTAGCTTAGGCATAGCTTCCATAGTCACACCTGCTCCATGATGGAATAGAAAATTCTAGTTCTCAGGCCTCACAGCTGCAATCAATTTAAAGTCTTTCACACTGCAAATGTGCTAATTTTCAGCATAAGCCAGTAACCAAGCCCAGTTAGCCCCAGTACCGCTTTACCTTCTGTTGAAGACAGAGGGAATTCTGGTGTTTCATGAGCTATCGGTGTCTGAGGAGAGCTCTTTGAACTGGTCTCCTTGGAACTGCTATTAGATGATCCAACTGCCACCGCAGTAGCTTTAAAATAAATGTCCAACTGAAATGACAAGAAAAACAGTATTAGCACAGCAAGTCTTTCCAGTCACTTGCTGAGATACAGCCCAGGTTTCCTCTTTCCACAAGCTACAGCAGTTGCATAAAGGCCTCAAAGTCACTGAAACCTGACATGGAAGGCTCCACCACAACAGCTGGTCTGTATACAACCTCTTGACCCTATTTTAACAAAGCCCCGTGGCATGGTAGGGTGCTATGCCTTGTGGCTGCGTGACAAGACTGACCGTGTTGTTTTACTAGTAGGTTAGACAGGCATTTGTATGGTACACTTTGGACAGGGATAAGGATGATCCTGTCTCAGGCAGGGGGCTAGACTAGATGACCTCCAGAGGTCCCTTCCAGCCCTGCTTTACTATGACTCCGTGGGCGTGTCTACACGAGACATTTACTGCGGAGTAAGCTAATTGGCTCCACAGTAAATGTCTCAGTATCTACACATGCAGCTCTATCAGGCTGGAGTCAACTAATAAACTCCACAGCAGGGTAGTACTTGTAAATACACAAGTACTATCTTGCTGCAGATTTATTTTTACTCACCCTGCCCTGTTTTTTACTAGCACTGAGGAACCCTTGTGCCCCAGTCAGCCCCTCCACAGCACATTAAGCCAGGTGGAAGCAGCCCCAAGCTGGCAAGCTGACCCCCTGGGCCTCTTGCCAGCAGGGCTGCTCCAACCTGGCTTAACACACTGTGGTCCTGGACACCCATGTAAACACAGCACCTGGGAGCAATAAACTCCAGCACAATAAGCACTGGAGTTTGTCACAGTAATATGCACAGGTAGACACGTCCTGCGATTCTAACCCTACTCCATGCAGCTAGAGGAGTGAGAGTGGACCTGGGCTTGTCAAGTCCTGACTGATGTACAGGCATAGTAACCAGTGCACATCAGAGCAGCCTGAAAGATGGAAAGTGACCCTCTGGTTCTGGGTTCAGAACTAGGGGAAGGGCAAAAATAACATACAGCTACCTGTTCACTCTCCCCAGCCCCAGGGATGATACATGTTGTATTCCTCCATGTTCCACACACACGTTAAAGGATCTGAGCTAGAATCCCAGGGTTTGGTACAACAACAACTGGTGTCATAAGTGAGGTATTGCTGCTGCTTGTTGCTTTCTTTTATGGCTGTCAGTGCTTGTTAAAGATAGATTCTCTCTCTTTTTCCAGGTGTAGCATTAAGTGTCCATCACAAAACATAAAAATCATCCTCCACCCCTATAAGACACTCACAAGCAGACAACTCTGTGCTCTTCTTTACCTTGCGTTTAATCAGGGAAATGTCCAGTGGAGAATGGAAGGGACATTTCTAATTATGTAAAGAATAGGGAAAGAGCTTGGAGAAGGGTCTCTGTATGAGACATGGTAACAGACAGAAGGACAATGCTGCCCCTGAATGTCAGATCAATACTTGAGCAGCAAAGAAGCTTGCTATCACCATTCTTACACATACTCAAATGTGGAGCCAAGTGCTCAGGCAAAGTCTATGTATACTATTTTGCATGTTGTACAGCATCAGCACCCAAAGTGGCTCATTAGGATCAGCGATTTTTGAGATTTTTACCAGGTCCTCCTGAGAAGGTCTGTCTCCATTCACAGCTTGAGTACCTGGGAGCCTGCATCACATACACAGGAATCAGACCTCACACGGGGGACCAGATATGCTTTTTTCCTGTGTCTTACCCTTGATGCTACAAGTTGAAGCTCAGGCACTACAGCTGTGTGAACTAGGTTCCCATTCACCACTAACCGGATCTCGATGGAATCAGTAGTGAAGGCCAGGATGTACGGAAAAGCACAAACTGCAATCAAACAAGTTAGTTTTACTGTGAAAAATAACAACTCCAAATGATTTGTATCAGCTGTTTTACTGACATTCCTCCAACTTTAAAACTGTTCTAGAGGACTTGCCTAGATGACACTTGAGGTCCTTTTCCCTTCCAACCCTATGATTCTATGAGTTCAGAGGCTCCTGGAAACCTGACCTGCTCTAGTATCTCTCCTACCTCACCCATAAATGATTCAGCAGTTTAGAACAGTCTCTGAAATATTGGCATGTGTCCAGATGCATGAAGTCTGTAACTGCCTGCCTTACCATGCCTGTTTAGATGTACACTTTGTGTCTCTAAAAGGGAGCAAAGGAAGTAAATGAGCTGAGAAAGGCAAGAAAAATAAGGCAGCAATGTCAGTCCTTTCTTCACGCACTGAAAGAGTCAGTCCCCAAGGCTCCTTACTGTGAGCTATCCCATGCAAAATTAGTTGGGCCTGCAGGACGGCACTTTGTTTTTGTAACACTCACTTGTGCTTCCCAAAGGCAAGTGTGATTCCAGAGCTAATGAAAAAAGCTAAGCCCACTGAAAAGGGCTCCTATAGTTTTGTCTTACCCACAGAGTAAGGAACCTGGTTCCAGCTAAAATGGAAGTCAGATGCTGATGGCTGGACCAAAGGTGAACCCCCATTAAAGGGGCATAACTTTCGATAGCAGCAGACATCTGCAATGAAAAACATCTGTCACCTCACACAGAAAATGATGCACGTGCTGACATTCAAGAAAATGGCTCAGATGCCTGGTTATATATACAGTATAGATACATGTGTGGAAATCCCTATATATCTGCTAAAACCATTAAAAATGTGAGTTTACTAACTGACTACAATTTTAAAAAAGGATAGGATATACATACACTGAGTCCCATCTACCAATCCATGGTGCACCCACACCTTGAATTATTGTGTACAGTTCCAGTCTCCACAGCTCAAATAAAGGTACAGTACAATTGGAAAAGGTACAGAGAAGGACAAGCAATGCAATCAGGGTTATGGAGCAGTTGCCATACCACAAGAAACTAAAATCGCAAAGGCTCTTAAGTTTGGAAAGGAGAAGGCTGAGGGAGGTCTATAAAACCATGAAGGGTACAGACAAAGTGAACAAGAAACTGTTATTCACCAAGTCCCAGAAAACCAGAACTAAGGAGCACCCATTGACATTAGCAAGAGATAGGTTTAAAATTAACAAGAGAAAGTAGTATTTTACATAGTGCATAGTTCATTTGTAGAATAAATTGCCACAGGAGGTGGCAGAAACATAGCATAGCTAGGTACAAAAAGGGACTAGGGAAATTCTGTGTTTCTGGCCCTATACAACATTTCTTTTGTTCTTAAAATCTAAATGTGAAACTATCATCTATCTGTCATTTATAAATAAATGCCTGTTTTACACTTCATAGGCAGACAAGGTTCTTTGGGTAAATCTGATATCTTTTATTAGACCAACTCAAATAGTTGGAAAAATTCTTCTTAGCACGCTTTCTAAGAAAAGATATCAGATTTACCCAAAAAACATTGTCCGCCTATGTCCTTAGAGACCAAGACAGCTACAACCTATACCCCTGTATCTTACAGTTCAGCAATATTTATGAAATCATGTTCACCAACTTCCCAGTTCTCTGTTACTTATCTGTGGCTACAGACAAGTCAGGAAAGATACTGTGCCACTGAGATCTCCCTCAGAATCAACCAGGCAGCAGTAATTGCCTTTTCAGAAGTTATACACTGGCATAGTTCACACTCCACAAAGACTGTGCCATATATGTGAGATATCAGGAATAGAGGTCATATTAGACACAATTCTATCATGCCCTTATTTTTTCCAATTAGCAAGTGCTTTCATAGTCCCTTATTCTAATAATTAAACAAATGACTTCATAGTTTCTAGGGTCAGAAGGGACCTGAGTAGATCATCTAGTCTGACCCCCTGCCATGGCAGGAAAGAGTACTGGGGTCAAATGACCCCA